GATCTTTGGGACTGATAAGTAAATGAGAAAATGATCCTTTGTTCTACTTAAAATTATTTATATATATAATGTGTATGAATGTTTTGCCTGTGTGTATGTAAACGTACCCATGCCATGCAATGCCTGTAGAGGCCAAAAGAAGGAGGTGAATCCCCTGAAACTGGAGTTAAGAGTGGTGGTTAGCTGCCATGGCAACTGAATCCGGGTCCTCTGAAAGGGCAGCCGTTGCACTTAGCCTCTGAGCCATCTCTCCAGCCCTCTTCTATTTTTTTCAAGAAAACTTGCTGAGATTTTGGTGGTAAGCACAATCAATCTATATTATTTTGGGGGGACTTGTACTCCTTAGTGGATTTCTTAATAAAATTGAATCTTGGTGTCCAGGCACGTATTGTTATATGTCTATTTAGGCTGCCCTGTTTCTCTCCAGTGCTTTGTAGTTTTCAGGTCTTTCATTTACTAATTTTTTGGACTAATTTTTGACTAATTTTGCATGAATATTTTAAAATTTCATTTCAGTTTTTGGACATTTTTAGAAATGCTCATTTTTATGTACTGAGTTTTTTTTAATGATATTGCTAAATTCATGTAGTTGCACCATTTGTGAATAGTTTTACTTTATTCCCACATGCATGTCTGTTGCTCTCTTGCCCTGTTGCTCTAGTGGGAAACTCCAGCGCAGTGGGTAGTAGGAATGGTGAGGGCAGACATGTTGCCCTTGTTCTCAGTTTCAAGCAGAAAGAATTCAGTTTGATTAATATGGAACTCATAGTAACTTGAAGACTTTATGATTGAGGGTAAACAAAATCTTTTCAGTATTATTAAAGTAGTCTAATGAGTTATCTTCATCTTTGGATGTCTGAACACATCTTTTAAAGAATTTTCATGAAAAACTTTCCACAGAGCATGGGTCAGTTAGCCCTTCATATGGACTGGCATCTTTTAGTTGAGTTGAGTTGACCTGTTCCTGTACTGAAAGAATGAGAGAAAAGTAGTCATAGTGTTGTATGATAGCTAAATTATTACCATCTGAGTTGAAGTCAAGGATGATGGTAATATTGAATATTTAAAAATTTTAGGATATTAGAACTGGCCATGGTGGCATATAACTGTAATCTTAAGCACTCTGGAAGTGGAGGCAGGAGGAATATTGCTACAAGTTCAAGGCCAGCCAGGGCCATATAGTGAGGTCCTATCTTAAAAACCAAAATTAAAAAAATTAAAACAATCGTTGTATTATTTAGACATTTTAAGTAGCTACCAAGAAACAGTTCAAGGACCTTTAAGTGACTGCATTGTCAGATTGTGTTTAGCTGAGGCAGTGGCTTAATTTTTTTTTAAAAATTACTTGTACATCGGTGTTTATTGCAGCACTGTTTCCATTAACTAAGTTATGGAACCTATGGAGGAACGGACAAAGAAAATTTGGTACATATACGCAATGGAATTTAATTCCATCATTAGAATGAAATGTACAAGAAAATGAGTACAAATGAAAATCACTGCATTAAGTAAATTCAGTCTTAGATGAATTGTGCGTGTTTTCTCATTTGTGTATCCTAGATTTTATATAGATAATACAAAAGCACATGTGTATTTGTGACATAAAAGTAGAAATGAAGGACTGGAGAGATGGTTTAGTAGTTAAGACCCAAGCTCAATTTTCGGGCCTTACCTACTAAAGAGTAGTTAATGTTAGCATGATAATGTTAACTACATGGTGGCTAATAACTCCAGTTCGAAGGGATCTTATGCCCTCTGCAAGCATTGTGTGTCATGGACGCACTTAACACACATGCAGGCAATATATTCATACACATAAAATAAAAATAATAGAATGCTAAAAAAAAGAAAGTAGAAATGAAAATGTCTAGGGAATCCAAGGGGACTAAGAGGAGGGGGAGGAAGGAGTGGAAGCATGTGTCAGGGGACTATGCTTAGAGTGTACTATATACTCTCTTAAAATTTTTCTTCTGAAACCCAGTAATATATACAATAGATAGCACCAATAATGAAAAAGAACAAGAGGAAGGAAAAAAAAAACTGTGGCTTTTGATCTACATTTTCTTTCTTTCTTTTTTTTTAATTTAATTTTTCTCACTATGTAGATGAGGCTGGCCTTGAACTCACAGAGATCTGCCTGCCTCTGCTTCCCAAGAGCAGAGGAATACAGGCGTGCGCCACCACACCCAGCTTGATCTACATTTTCTTACTGCATATTATTCTTGAAAAGTATTGTTACATAGGACTTTCTCTTGTATTGCTGAAAGAGATAGTCTATTTAGTTGTGGTTTATTTTCTATCAGAATCATCATTATTTTACTAATAAAGTTTGAAAGGGCTGCAAGAAATCAGCTTAAACTCTACTGATAAATTTTTGTTACAACTATTGGCCTCATAGCATGTATAAGAAACTTAAAAAGTTTATGATACCAAGAAATTGTAGGCAGCCTACATCCCCAAGAGAGATACTGTCTACTTAGGAAAGATATGCCTATCAGTGGTCAGGAGGAAGCACAGGCACAGGAGTCTGTTTGTCGACAATGGGAAATAGTCCTAAAATATTTTTCATCTATAAAAGAAGTCTATAGAAAATAGATTTTTAAAAAAGTAACTGTTTTTGAGTTAAACAACAACATAACAGTGTGTATATGAGAACAAATCAGTGAAAATAACAGGTTAGTCATTTTGAGGCACCTTTTCTTCTGTTGCTTTCCAGTTTTTCAAATTTTTTGCATAAAACAAAACAATACTCTGAATTTAAAGCCAAATACTTAAGTGCTCTGTTGAGTACATTATTTTTAATGATATCAGTGGCTATATTGAAAATTAGATGTTCGTTTTTATTATCACATTTGTCTTACCAGCTTTATTTTATCATTTATAATTCTATTGAGATTTTGCCTTTGAATTTTCTTTAAATTACCATTAGATATCACTATGATTAAAAAAATGCCCTGTGTTTCTAGTACTATTTTGTTTTGTACTCTTATGTTTTCATAATATTTTAGCGAACTAATAAAATGATGAAAAAGACTTTGATTTCTTCCTATCTCAAATAATCGGTTTTTGAATATATTTCGCTCCTTTTCTTACCTTTGTGCACCTAGTCTCTAAATAGGTATAATTTAGGACTTTTCCTCATTGTTATTTTGACATCCTCATTTCCCAACTTGGATTTATGCTTATCTTCCAGAGGGCTTGACTTGATCTTGGAGTCAAGGTCCACATTCTTCCAGTGGCCTGTGAAGCTTTCAGCCCCTTCTATCACAGTTTTGTTTTGTTTTTAAAAAGGCACCTGCCAATTTAGCTGGCTTGCTTCCTTAGGTGTTAATTCAGTCAAGTTAGAAAGAGGGTTTTGAAGTTTTCTGTGAGGCTTTCATTGGCAGCTGTTAAAATTGGGTGTCTCGCTATGCTTCTCACTACCCCTTTGTTGCTTATTTTTCTCTGTAACAAACTTACTTGTAGTGCAGTGTACATTTATGCATGTGTGCGTGTATTAGGTTGATACTGGGGATTGTACCAAGGTCTTTGGGCAGTGTAGGCTTCTCAATTCTTAAAATAGTGCTAGCATGCTAACATTAGTAAGCATTTAATGCTTTTCAAATACTGAAGGAATTCCACTTTTTCCAACCCATATTTTATGCTACAGAATGTCTTTCCAAAATCTTACTTGGAAAGTTAAGGATGTAAGGGAACTCTCATTTTATCACCTGTCTTTTGTTGCAAACATTTTTCTCTTTTTCTCTTTGTGCATGCTTATATTTTGTTCTGAAAGTATTCTATTCTAATTCTTAATTTCATCCTTTCCTTTCCTGTTACTCAGCTTTTTTTTTATTTGCTTGTTCAGTTAGGTGTTTGTCCATTGTTGCTCCTTATCCTATGCTGCAGGACTGCACTGAGAATTACAATCTCTAGACTCAAGTTTTGATAATCCCTTCATCTATATTGCTTAGAACTACTCTTTCAGTGGTAATTGAATGAACCAAGGACTGATTAGCTGTTTCTGTGTTGATTAAAATGCTAATTTTTGGGGGGTGCTTTTTGAGATATCGCATCCTTTTAGCCCCGGCTGGTCTGGATATCATGATGTAGTCCAGGTTGGCCTTTCTCTCACAGAGATCTGCCTGCCTCTGTCTCTTGAGTGCTGGGATTAAAGGCCTGTACCACCAAGCCTGGCTCAGAATGCTTATTTAAAAATATTTATTATTTTTATTTTATGTGTATAAGTATATCACCTGCATGCATGAAAGTGCTCCCATGTCATAAATTGCCCACGGAGCTCAAAGATGGTGTCAGATTCCCTGGAACTGGAGTTACAGTTGGTTGTTAGCCACCACATGAGTGCTGGGAACTGAACCCAGGTCCCTTGCAAGAGCAATTCCTGAACTATCTCTCCAGCCCCAGACTGCTAATTTTTATGTATATTTCTTGTTTCGAGTTTTGATATTTATTTTGAATGTGCCTAAAGTGTTACTTTAATTTGTCTCTGGGGTATCTGCTTAATAACACTCCATGACATTTTGCATTTGAAAACCAGTTGTTTTGATTGAGAAACCTTTGAATGTCTTGGCACTATCATTTGTGAATAGAATTGATTATGAATTTATCGAATTGTGTTTAGAAATAAAGACAACATCTCTTCAAAACAGTACTTCTATTAGTTGTGTGCAGCAGTTACTAGGAAATGTGTAATTAACTTTAAAAAAAATTTATATATCATTTTTATTTTATGAGTATGCGTGTATTGCCTACATGTAGGTAAGTGCACTCATGTCATGCAATGCCCGTGGAGGTCAGAAGAGGCTGTCGGATCCCCTGGAACTGGAGTTACGGAAAGTTGTTAGCTACCATGTGGGTGCTGGGATTCGAACCCGGGTCTTCTGCAAGAACAACCAGTGTTCTTAATCGCTGAGCCATCTCTCCAGCCCTTAACTTCGTTTCTTTATGGATAATTTTCATGCAATATGAATTGAACAACTTTCTTTTGATTTTTTTTGCAGGGAAGTCTTAGAAGTAGCCGACAGATCTCACCTCAGGAATTTATCCATGAGCTGAAAATGGGGTACACAGATGAGAGACTTGTTACATACCTCGAGTCGCTCCGAGTTTCATTGACCAGCAATCCTGTGAGGTAACTCATCCAGTGGGACACCATTGTGGGAATCTTAATTAAACAGATACCACCAATCTGTCCATTTAATTTAGTATTTTCTTCATGATTCCTTCAAATAGCTGGTATACTTAGATTTTCAAGGTAAAAATTGAATGCAAAACATATACATGAAGAAAGAGTCTCCATGGGACTTCTGTATTTATTTGTGATTGGGACATAACTCATGGCCTTAAAGCAGTTTTATGAAATTCTTAAAAACATGTTCTGTGAAAAAATAGTTGTAGTCAGAAACTATGAATTGAATATGATTGAATTTCTCTTTAACTTTTCATATTGTTGCTGTACTCACTGATTCTTATTTGACATAGCAGGGCATATCTTAATTTTTTCCTTTGTTAAATATGATGTCTTACGCAGAGACCTATAGGGTTAGTGTTATTTAGCAAATAAAACTGTAGGATATACAATAAAATTTGAATATCAGATTACCGACAAAAAAAATTGTTCTGAAATCCAAATTTAACTGGGTGTCTTTTATCTGACATTAATACCACATGATCAATTTTAGATTTTTCTTTTTTTTGAACTAGCTACTTTTTGGTAACTTTGAGAAGTAGTGTGTAAAAAATTTAAAAACCAAAGTAATTTTGATAGACTGACCTTATTTATATTTTCCAGATTACAGAAATGTGGGAAACACTTGTTAAAAGTTTCCTGCAAGGAAAGAATGCAATCTATATAGACTTTAGGTTAACCCTGCATTAGGTTTGTCCCTCCCTCCCTCC